ATTTAAAAAACTAGCAGATGTTTTGTCATGGAAATGTACATTTCATTTTTGAAAAGGCGACTATGATGATCTAGTCCATTGTTACCGTTTCATAAAAATACTTTTTTTATTAAGAATATCGAGCAAACAAACAAAAAATAGGACAAGTTAATTTCAGAACATTTTTTTAAACAAATAGTTCAGACAGAAAAATAAAGAATATAAAGACAAAATGTTCATGATAAAGAAAAATTATTAGAGAAAAATGTAAAATTAATCGAAATAAACACTCGATACAAAAAGTTAATTGACTAGATTATATTGATTGTTGCAAAAAGATGAAGAAACATAGATATATATATATATGTCGAGAGTGAGGGAGAGAAAGAGATACATATATTATAAATATGCTGCCCATCCAATAAACATCTGACTTAATAAATGATTATCTGTCGCTTCCTTTGAAGAAAAAAAAGAGAATCAAATTGAGTAATAAAATAATTCACTTTCAATAATTAAAACATACCTGAATTAAATGATTTACTTGTCCTTCGACTGACAATGGTAATGGAATATGCTTAGAATTTCTTGTATCAATACAAAAACCACGTACACGATCCATAATATTTTTTACATGTAATTGTGCCTAAAAAACAAGAAATAATTTTTTAACTTTTAGCTTTAATACTAGACATGGATCGCGTTCTAGACAAAACCGTCCTTGGACCAGGGCAGGGATCAAGACATTTTTGACAATTCTGTAGAAATCGTTAAAAATTTATCTTTTTTCCATACTAAAAATAGAACATTTTTTAGAAAATTGTCAAGAGATCTGATAGTGTTTTTCTAGACCTTGATCTTTCTATCTAGTCTATTTACTGTTTCGTGAAAATTTTATTAAATTACTCAGATTTTAAGTAGTACAACGAGTTTTGTTCAAAAAACATTTAATGATATATCATTAAATATACCATCGGTTAGCTAACTGTTTACAATGTCACTGTTGCCATCCTATCCTTTTCCTATTTTGAGAGAAAATTTTTTTTTCGAGCCGGAGACTAAAAAATCTTGATTTTGTCCATATCTCTTTGATACTGATCACAAGACAATAATAAATATCAATTATAAATTATAAAAGTTACTATAATTTGATTTACTTTTGAATTGACAATTTCTCCACCATCTCCACCAATTGCTTTTCTTGTTGCTGTTGTATCTTGTTCTCGAGATGATTTCCATTCCACTAATGGATCATAGACAAATGTTTTTAAAACAGACATTAATAATTCTTTTTCATCTCGAATTAAATGTAATGTTATTTCACATGTTTTACGATAAACACCTTCAACTCCAAGTGGACCCATTCCATCAACAAGATTATGTGTTAAACGAAATGGAACTTTTTCAGGAATTTCAAATGTTGTACCTAAATAAAATAAAAATGACTAATATATAACAATAATCATATATATTCATTCTACCTTTATTAAATAAACAATTAAAATCTACATGAACCGTATCACCCGAGCAACTATCTAATAAAATATTTTCACAATGTCTATCACCTAAAAAATAGATGAAAAAATTATAATTGTCAATAATATTTTGTTTTTATTTTTTTTCTTCATTAAATAATACTAACCTAAACCTAAAATATAACCAATAATACTAATAACGGCTGTTGTTCGACTATAATTTAAACGATTAATATACCATCGATTTGGATCAGGATAAATATCAAAAAAATATTGATGAAATACGGGTGGTTGATGTTGTTTTAATAATTTTTGAGTAAAATTATCTAATTTTTGTGCTATTGTTTTTGTTTTATCAGCTGCTAAATTTTTTAATTCACGATTTGTTAAATCAACACCACGTTGTCGATAATATTTATTAACAATTGTACGAAATGTACATAAATTTGGTATCCATTCAATAAGACCACATCGTTCATGTATTGGATGAACGGCATATGTACGAATATACAATTGTCGTCGTCTTGATTCACCATGTTTTTTTAAACATTTATTAAATATTGAACAAAATTCAAGAAAACGTGAATCAACACGTAAATCATCACGTGATTTACATAAAAATGGATATGCTTGTCCATCACTACCACGTAAAACAATTTTTTTGGGTTTTTGTAACGATGATAAAACTTCTACTGTATCATCAAAACCTAAAATATAAATAAATTATAAAAATTTAGTCTTTTATTTTTCAAAAAATGATTTTAATTTTCTTACTTTGTAAATATAATGGTACATTTGGAAATGGTTCATGTTTTGATTCAACAAGTGTACTATTTGTTTCATTTGTTGTTGATTTTTTAGAATTGGATGTTCGTCGATTTGTCGATGATATTGTTGTTGTTTTTTCACATGAATTATGTGTACCAATTGTTGTTGACGGTGGTGGTAAACTTACTTGCATTTGAGATTGTAATGGAATTAATATTTGTGAAAAATTACTTGATTCTACTAATCGTTTTAACGGTTTAAAATGTGCTTGTAAACTACATTTATTAATACCAAATTCTAATTCTTTTAAACATAATTCATCTAAACGTTTAGTTAAAGCTTGTGAATCTTCAATAAATTTTCCTAATTTTGAATTTGCTTTTATAGCTAGACTAAATATTGAAGCACATTTTTCTTTTCTTGCTAAATGTGTTGAATTATAAACATTAACCATCATCCACATTGTTTGATGTGGATAAGCCATAAAAACATTGAGTAATATTTGATTTAAAACAATTGAAACATCCTTATGTGAATGACAAATACGTGATACTAATTGAGGAAATGATACTAGAAAAATGTATAATGGAACATGTTTAATCCATTCTATAATAATATCATTAATTTCTTTTAATGTTTGTTTTGCTAAATTTTCTAATGTTATATCGGTATTAGAATGAGTTGTTTGAACATGACGAGTTGAATGAGTAGTTGTTTTTAATTGTAATGCATAAACATCTGTACCAAAATCTAACCACATTGTTAATAGGCGTGTCAATGATTGATAAATATATTCACTACCATATTTTAATGATACACAATAACCATTGATTGTTGATTTGATATATTTAAATAAATTAATTTTTTTCTCTGTACTTAAATGAGATGATATTAAAAAATTATTTGTTGTTGTTGTACTGGTCGTGGTTGTTGAAGATTGATCAGAATCGAGTGTTGTCGATACGAGAGTATCATAATATTGACCAAAATAAAAATGTACTTCTTCCCAATGTGGAGCTAATTCTTGAACAGATGTATACATTTCAATCACAAGTTCACTGGGAGAATTTTGTTCACTATAACGAGCCAATAATAAACATAGACGAGCTTTTAAATCAGTTGATACTAAAAAGAAAATTGTTTTATAAAGAAAATGTTAGAATAGATTAAATATAACAATGAACCTGGATGATTTTGAGTTATACTGGTTGCTGCTGCTGGTGTTCGGTTTGAATTAATAGCAAATATTTCATTTCGTTTTTGTTTTAAACTCATAACAGCACGATCTTTTTCACCTTTATCCCACATCCATTGTGCGCGTTCAATAACAACTTCAATTGGATGTGTATTACTCGCTTTCATTAACGATGCAATGGCTGCCATAGAATTATTCGCTGAGCGAGCAATACGAGCACTCTGTAACCAACATTCAGATATTTCATGTGTATAAATATTTTTCTTGTGTTTATATTCATATAATGATAACAATGTACGACGTAACGATAAAGATGGTTCCAAATATTTTATATTCGGTTGTAATAGACAATGACGTTTGTACCATATATCGTCTCTACACAAATAAAATATTGAAAATTAGATTTGTTTCAGCGTGTGTGTAATTTAGTTACCTTCACCAAACTACTGTCTGTTAAAAAAAATAAGGCATATGACTATTTTTTAAATAACTGGAGAACGAAAAGAGATAAAACGTTGCGGTTTTCACCATTCGAAAGAGGAGACTTGAAGGCATGTTTTCATAATCAAGATTTTTTCAGCAGAGTTCTCTGAAATGAGTTCTCCAGAAGATCCTCGAAAAATCAGACGTTTTTTTGTTGTGTAAACGTTTTCCAGTAGGACTGTATTAATTTTTTTCCATGGGCGGATAGCACGGTGGATTACAGACGGTTTTCACCCATTATTGAGAAACTCACTATTCACTCAAAAAACTTCGGAACGGCTTCAAAACTTCAAGAAATATAATTAACGTTGTTCGCTAAACGTGATTATAAGGCCGAAGAAATAAAAAAGGTACACTTTTATGAATAGGTTTTCCAGAAGCCCTTTTTGAAAACCTTAGAGTTCTGAAAATTTTCTTTTGAGAATAGGATATAAAATAGCTTAAATACTCTACATTCTAAAGTGGTGAAGCCATTCTGATGTTTTTGAGTGAATAGTGAATATTTTAATAATAGGTGAAAACCGCCTGAAAACCCTATTTTTCGTACAACTCGTTTTTCGGTAGATTTTTGAAATTTTTTCTCAAAACAAATACTGCCACGAGACTCAGCATGGTCGATTATCCATGGTTCAACCGTCTTCAAGACCAATAGTAACCGGGTGCCAGTCCTGGGACTCGTAGGAAATGCGATATAACGCTCGAACAGCAGAAAATCAAGGTCTTGCTTGACACCTATTTTGAAGAAGGTCCTCCATCCTATACGCCCATGGAAAAAGATTAATACAGTCCTACTGGAAAACGTTTACACGACAAAAAAACGTCTGGTTTTTCGAAGATCTTCTGAAGAACCCGTTCCAGAATACTCTTCTGAAAAAATCTTGATTATGAAAACATGCCTTCAAGTCTCCTCTTTCGAATGGTGAAAACCGCAACGTTTTATCTCTTTTCGTTCTCCAGTTATTTAAAAAATAGTCACGTACCTTATTTTTTTTAACAGACAGTAGTTTGG